TAAATATAGCGCCTTTCTCTACAGGTGCCTTTATTTCTTTTATTTGTTTTGAGATTATATGCTATGCAGATTGTTTCTGCATTCTTTTCACCTTTTAACTTTTCAAAAGTCACCGTTCAGTCATCCAATCTTGAATATCTGCACAAGGCTGCATATATTTACACCCATCATCAAGAACGGGTGGTAAATTAATTTCGTTAATATGTTTGCATCGCCCAAAAGGAAATTCCAAAGACCCTCATAAAGTGTATATATATCGGGTGAGCATTAAACTTTTTATCGATTTACACATGTCCGCCTATCCGTCTGGCTGTCTGTGCGTCTATGTTCTCTGTTGTAAATCTGTTGTCTGTTTTCCAGGCTGCAAAAAAGAAGATATCGACTTGTAATTTAGCAGAAATATTGGAAGTTCTTACGTGCAGGTTGGTATTAAAAATGGGCTAAATCGCGCGAAGAAAACACCACAGTACCACGTAAACTGAGAACACCTCTGTTTTTTTCAAAAGAATAAAAAGTTGGGTTTTCGCTCATAAAGGCACAAAAAGTTGAACGTGTATTCCATGATTGATGCTGTAGCTTCTGTCCAAAAATTGGAAAAATCTAGTACGACTTCTTGAAGAATTGTTATAAAGCACAGAATATATATTTAACTATATATAACAAATTCTTGGCCAGTTTCAAATTCGAAATGCACCTAAGAATGTCTGTCCGTTCATCTGTCCATACCGTGCCGAAAGAACGATGTTGTTTTGCAGTGGTCCACCATTGAAACCAATCCGACAATAGGGATATGAGAGCGCAGCGTCATTATAAGCTTCTAAAAGTGTTTGAGAACAAAGTTTGGCACACTTACTTTTTACTTGTTTGTTTATTCATTTCTTGCAAACTATAAGTCCTAAAGGCCTAATTAAGCCAGAAAATACAATTGGTAGTAAATACTGTTAGCTAAGAAGGGCTTGTCCATGGGCCAAAATACGTTAGTTTGCCAAATTACCTCACAGTATCCTAAAAATTGCGATATTTATGTTGAACATACATGTATCTATATATATATACTTGATGTCAGACTAATAGACGGACAGACAAGCAGAGAAGGCCAAATCGATTTAGGAAATCATTTTGTACCGATCGGCATAATAAAAAAAGATAGGTCTATCTTAAAGGTGCCTGGCTGTCGCATGCAGCCGCACAAACTTAGTATAGCATAGTGTTAGGGATAAAAAAAATTATGACGACTTGCTCTCAAAAGATAGGAAGGAAATTGGGAGCTGCCTGTGGGTAAATATTTTAGGTTATCTTGCTACCTTTGCTGCGCTGAGTAGCGAACGGATAACCAATGTGTACATGTACTACATTTAATTATTGTTACATTTTTACATTCAAATATTTATTTTTTTTCCTTTTTTTTTGGGCGATTTGAAGTATTTCAATTAACCCCTTATGAATATATTATGTTTAAGTGGAAGTTAATTAAATTTTAAGCATTGAGTATTATGGGGAATATTGTTTTTCATTGTGTTGTTACACATTTCATTTATTGCGCTTTTAATTGTCAAGTCAATCTTTCAACAATTTTATATAATTCTATTAGACACCGTAAGCTTATTAACTGTATCCTTTCAATTGTAACACTTATGAAAACTACATTAGAAATTTTATAATATGTGTACGCATTCATAAACATCATTGGAGACTTCGAATTGATCTAGCGATGTCGGTTTCTCTGTCCCTATATGTTGACGTTAATCTGCGAGTCCTTTGAACTCTTCTCAAGTAATTTTTTCCCCACAACAACTAATGAACAAAAGAAATTATGAAAAAATAAATAAAAAATCAAGTTAGATTAAGATGTCAGCCCGGGTCACTGGTTACGAATGCCTGACTATTACATCGAACGTTATGTGCAGGAGATCTTATCAGCCTCGCGTATCCTACGTATTTGACAAAATGGGTAAACGACTTCGACATGAACTAAAAAGACAAAAGATTCGCATCTAGCAAAGTAGACGCTACTTAGGGCTATTGATGTCGACCTAAGCTGCAAATAAATCAATTTTTTATAATGAAAAGTTGCGACTGCTTTCAGTGTAAAAAGCATTCGGCCAAACTAAAAGGTAATATTTTCCTGTTTTTCGATTACTTTTTTGTTTTCAACATTAATGGAACATTTTCTCTTTAATGGCCATTATCCTTAATGAAAAAAAAAAAAAAATGAAAAATAAAAATAAATAAAAAAACAAACGTAAAAGTTTAAACACATCAACCAATTAATTATATTTGATTTGCTTTTCCTGCTCAATAGCACTTTTGTCCAGCATGATGCTTTGGAAAATTTTAATAGTTGGCAAAAAAAAAAAAACGGAAGAGAAATACTAAAACTATACAGGATGCCTTTAAAGGAGCCCTTCAGGTTTTTAATATCATTATGTTACACTTGGTCTATGATATTAATGTCTTTCGACGCTTTCAATGAACGAATAATCAGCTGTTCGCGTATTATATAAATATATTTAGAAGACTTTCGCTTATATATATCACAGCACACGAATTCATTCCACAAAACTCGTAAGTAAATAAAGCAAAGAAGCGTAGAAAATAATGCGCCGCAAATATGAATCTCCTTGATGTTGTCGATTTATTGATACTGTCCAATTTTCGTAAAAACTATTCATCTCCACGCCGCATTAGTAGTCAATTGGAAATTATGGAATTAAGATTTTAAAAGAAAAATCACTATGCGATAGCTCAGACAGAAATAACCATTCATGGGAGCGTCACTGCACATTTTCCACGAACAAAATTTGATTTTTACTGGCCTAGGGAAGGCCTAGAACCTTCTATAATAATGGGAAGAAAAAATTCATTACCTCTGAAATTTTGGGGTTGTTCACGCGTATTCGCAAATAACAAGCGTTAGGTAACAAACGGATTCCCGCTAGTAGGGAATAGTAGGGGATAGATAGTAAGTTATATATTATGTATAATATCTTTAACTGATTGAATTCCAACTTCGCTAATCCACGAATAGATGTCTTTGCAAAGCGTTTATGTTCATTTAAAAACATTTCCAAACAAATATATATTTATGCGACTGACAACGATGCTAAGAAATCGAGGGTTGCGGATGAAGTCTCTGGTGTAAGTGTGATAGTATTGATATACATTTTCCTAGGGTGAGCGTAACACGTTAAGTGTAAAATTTCGTATTTCCTTGTTCACCGAGAGGAACCCTTCGGTATATAAAATCTTCGAGGAAAAAGGTATAAGGACGAGTTTCGTGGTCTCGGAATTGCAGGCGAATGGCAAGAAATATTACAAAATTTATTACAATAAAAACATTGTACGAAACGCCAAGCGATATAAATGCCGCAGTTTTTCATTTGTTTAATTAAATTTTTTACATTTTACATACTTTTTTAAAACAACATTCCGAAGATGGGGACAAATTAGGGAATAAGTTATTCAAATCCTATGAAAATTGCTCATGAAGACAAACTTAAAACTGCCACTGTCACTGTTAATCTGCCTCGATTAAAAGCTATTCGAAATCCCTCGACCTCGAACTGGAGCATCACCAGCCAATATATTAAAAAGAAAAGCCAAAATGATTTGTGAACCAAGCCATATCGATTTATTGGGAAAGGAACAAGTTGATCGAGCAAGTCTGCTGCTACTGCACCTCTACTTATTTTTTTTTTTTATTTATTTATTTATTTATTTATTCCACTTATACAAGAAACTCAACTAAAACAAAATGGCAGTCGAGTTCAATTGACTCTTAAGTAAATCTTAAAATTATTTAATAATAAAACTTAGTATAAGTACAATAAAACAAATAAGGAGGAAAAAAAAAGAAAAAAAAAAAAAGAAGCATGTACACAATTAGCATAGAGCCACGCCCACAACCGATACAGGACCAAATTGCAAGTGAACCCCTAAGCCATCGCAAACATGCATAAGCTTGGCAACCGATAATTGTTAACAACAAATTAATTTTCGACTCATAATGACAAAATCTAAGGTTAAATCAGTTTAAGTACGACATAGGTAAATCGCGCTTGTTGAGCAATATTGCTTTAATGGACTTTAAAGAGTCCGTTAATGAGAATAGATGATAGACATCATTTAGGTTCTTGCAAACAACTCTGAGCGACATAATAGAAAAGTGAGACTATCGAAGAGTAAATTATGGAAGGAAATCGACAATGTTATCAACAGCGTCATTCCTCTGCTCGCCCTCAATTTATTCCATCTTCATATTCAACACGTATTGAGAAAATCAAGATGAAAACATTTTCAAGAAATCGCCATGGGCGTGACCATACATTTACAACACACCTATGCAGCTTAAAGAAGTTTTCTTCTCCAAGCTGCAATTGTGGACGTATTCTTACAATAAAGCCGATCCTTTTGACTGCGTCAACTTTTCCTTTATTAGCGAGAATTTCGTTTGGAATAACTGATCCTATGGACATCCTAAAGTCAGCTACAGAGCGAAATATCGACGTAGGTTATTATTGTATAAAACCTACTAGGCTCAATATTTAATTTACTTTTCTTTGATAGGGTTAATAACTTGTGGAGCTAGTGCTCAATGTTTGCTTTCTCGTCTGAAGATTTATAATAGTAATAATAATAATATTCAAAGACTCGGCAATTACGAAATAATCATTACTTTCAAAATAACTTACGTCGTTCTTTAGCCTACACGCATCTAGGTTAAGTATTCCTTTTTTCTTACATTCAAATTTTTATCAGTTACACTGCATCACGTAGAGCCTTTTTAATAAAAAATACTGTAAACGAGAATAGTTTCGGTGTTGCCATTTTTAAAAAATAATTTATTTTTTGCAAATTCTTAAGTATATATATATATATAGTTTAAAAAGTTACCCGAATATCATTATTCTGTTGCTCTCTCTTCCATTGCAATCGATCGGTCACGTTGATGGCTCTCCACAATGGAAAGTTCATCTTATCTTATTTTTAGTTTTCTTATTTTAATTGCCTTCTAGTTGCTTTAAGCCTTCTTCAGCAGCCAAGCCCATTTGATAATCGTTCGATCCTTTCGGTTCCATTTGCAATATTAAACTGCTTTCCTTGAGCAGTTCGATGACTTCTCTTAAACGTTTATTAAAATCTTTACGTGTTATTAGATGCTGGCTGCATAGATGCTGAGAGATCATCATAATGGGAGCATGTAATTCATACATAATTAGTCCTATCAGTGGAATAATGATTAACAATTAATAAAATTTGTAATAAAAATTAATTAAAAATTAAAATAAAAATTCTTCAGTACCTCGTAGTTTGCTTAGACCCGGTTGAAGTATGTCTGCTACTTGTAAAAATTCACGACAATATTTCTCTTTACGCTTTAAATCTTCAAGAGACATATCCGATAATAGGTAACCTTCAATACGTCCATAAATTTGACATAATGTGTATTTCACGTACAGCAACAGATAGTGATTGGAGCCTAACAGGACCGAATAGCTGCGAATTGAAAACTCAACCGGTACAGTTATAGGCTTAGAAAATGCTTTAATTAACGAACCGTTTCATAAAGTTCTCAAGACCCTGCACATCGTGAACATCGATACTATCTAAAATGTTATTTAGTTTTTCTAATAATTGTACCACGTCCTGAGAGTTCATGATAAAATCACATTTATCACACCTATGTTCACAAGAAATAAAAAAAGTAACGGAATATTATTTAAAAAATGAAAAATGAATTTAAATAAAAATAATGCATTAATACCTCCATTCAGCTTCTTGTACCAGAGGATTACTTGACCTTAATAATCCTCTTTGGCAAGAACTGCAGGTCAGAGCACTGCAATCGGTACCCAACTCATAGGGATCAGTGCACCGTTGACAGCAACACCAAAACAATTTACTTTTTTGTATGAAATCGCGACGTTTCAATGTACCCTACAAAAACTCTTCTCTTACTTAAATTAACTTTTCTTTTTTATTTTGAAATTCTCCTTACTGACCTGCAACGTATAAGCATAACTCAAAGTAATCGATTCATTTTTTTTAATACCTCGTGAGGTGCGTAAAATAATCTCGTATGTGTCAGGATTATCTGTATGTGCGGTGTTTGGGCAGCAATCGTGTGCCAATAGAAACGCCCCAGGATATAATGCACGTGCCTTGGCGGAATTTTGACCAATTTCAAAACAATTTACATCCACTATACCGCATACGGTATGAATTTCTTCTGCTGTGAAGTCATTCGATAAATGCCATCTCTCTCTTAATTCTTGAACAATATTCTCTTCATAATGTTGCCATAGATCTGAATTTTGTTTTCGCATTTCCAAGTGGGATTCCATTAATCGAATTCGTTGATATTGATCAGTTTCGTGAATTTTCATTAGCAGAATTCTTACTATAGCAACTAATTCATAAAGATTTTTGATTTTATCGGCAGGAGTAATTGTATGCAAACGTTGACCGGTATTCTCACGTTTCAAAAGTTCACACTCACAAGCACTATGACCGTAAGGTTGATGGACGCCTGGACATTCTTTACCACACAATGGCCATTTACAGTTAGGACATCTATACTGTAAAGTTGTAAGTGTAACCGGTTTATAGCAACCTAAACAAACCGGTTCTCCTGAAGCACACGGCCCCACGACTAAAGGTTTTTCGGTAATTAATAATTCTCCCGCTGGTAGATTACGTTTCGCCAATAAATAACGACCATATCGATCGGAATAAGTGATTCGGTATTTATCGGATTGCGGTAATAAAATTTCTTCATTCTTTTCCGTGTCGTTGGCCAAAGAGAGTTGCCGCAAACCAGTATTTAAATGATGTGTTCGTTGCGACGATTTCTTCTTAGTTGTCTAAAAATAATTTTCAACGTTTTCATAATTTAAAAATCTTCCCAAGCGCAGCTGTAATAAAACTATTGCTTCTTTGTAAAAATTCGAAAATACTTTTGCGTCCAAAAAGTAAAACCAATTTAAATTTTTCTTCTCAAAATCTATTTATTATCTTCTTCATCGCATATCAAAGTAATCCTGAAACCCCAATAATATTCCTTGTTAACTGTCTAGATCGGCCGAAGGTGTTCACAGTATACAACACCACGACAATCGAAAAAAACTGTTAACATCATGTCGATTTTTGAGCGCCGTTAGCGCAGTTTTTTCAGTCTTCGCCCATCTTTTGCTTAGCTGAAAAACTAACGACTTTAATGAGGTGAAATTTGTCATAGATGTCTGTCACAGTGTTATCAACTTGAAAAAAAAATGTTTCTGAACACTGCCTGATCTATTGATCTCAGTATTTAGTCGGTCGCAGTTGTTCTTTCTGTTTCCCATATGTCAACCATGCGAATTGTCGCGGAGTACATAGAGAGGGAGATAGAGAAAACAAAAAAAAGAAAAAGAAAGAAAGAAAGAGAGAGAGAGAGAGAGAGAGAGGGAGGGAGTTATCCGACACATAAAAGAATTTTCGAAACCAACAATGCGTAACAAGATCGTAAAAACGAATATATACGTGATGAAATCAGTGAATTTTTATATCAGATGTTGTTCGAAAAATTTCTCTCTTGATATTGTGTCCATCAATTAGGTCCTGGTAGCCGTCAACTGTAAGCGATGTTCAGGACCAAAGGATATTGAATATAAAGCCAAAATTTATTACGCAATTATTCGCTCAATTACATGTTGGAAATTGTGCATAGGCTCGATACGTTATTAACTTATTTGACGGTTACCTTATTATGTGTAGCCAAAGTATTTAAAAACAATTTTTCTTGTTACTTTTTAATGGTTCGGAAACAATTAAAAATCACTTAATTTCCGAAACCTTCAACAAGCAGACATTTATACGTATATATATATATATACATATGTACAAAACTGTACTGTATACATGTATCTGAAAATATTTCAAAAAGCCTAAAAGTTGCTCGTTCACTTTACCAAATTCAATGGAATCAACAAGTGGTTGGTTTGGCACTACCTCGAGCCACTGGAAGGCAGCGTTTTGCGCGATGCGCATAAACATACGTGCCGACACACACTCACACAGAAATACACATAACTATACATTAACTATATTTAATTTACTTGCATGTGTTCGTGTGTGTGTGTGTGTGTGTGTGTGTATGCATGTGTCTGTGCGTAATCTTTTCAACTAATTATTTGCCATATCTATCACGAGGTTGCATGTCTGGCAACGATTTATAAAGATGTTTCTGTTATTGTTTGACACGCTAAGCTTATCATTGACGAATTTCTTTTGTTCCTCTGTCTGTTAAGGCTTTTCGGAAGCCTCACAAAAAAAAAAAAAAAAAAGAAATAATAATAACTGATTATTTTGTAAAGAAAGCTCTTGCGCAGATTTTTACTATCATTACGATGCACTTGGCAGCCCTTTCCACTTATGATCATAAGCAAGGAAGAGTGTGAGAGTATGGGAGAGCGAGTGAACGAGAGAGAAAAAGAGCGAAATCTCTCGGAAAAAATTTAAAAATAATTTCAATAATACTCATACATACAAATTATATAAAAGATCAAGCAAGTAAATTGATGCTTGTGGCAATACATATCCAACTATGAAACGTTTTTCACTTCTCGATTGGGGATGTTATTAACAACATTCTGTATAAAACATTTTATCAATTCTAGTGATATTTGAGAAAACGTATGTGTACAGTAGATACCGGATGGAAAGGAAGTAATGACCTTGAAATGTACCACTCAAGTATGCGCTAAGGTATATACTCACATTTCCGTCTGTCTGCGCCAGCAACATCTAAAGATCTAAGAGAAAGTGCATTGCGTGAAAAGTTTGAGATCAAGATGTGTCCCAAACCTCACTCTTTGAAGACTCGTCATTGTACGAATTCAGAAAAAAAATTAAAGCTTCGATCTTCGATTCTACGTTTAAATTAACCTCGCTAGGTTCCTAAGCAGATTCTTGCTAAGGTTTTGAAGAATTTTTAAGCATACCCGACCGAACAACTTGCAGCGTGCATAGTATTCAAGTGCTTAACATTCAAGTAATATTACTATTAAAACTCGAGAGCAGACGGCGTGCGTTGTAAATTTTCGCAATCCAAAGTTGTTTTGTTCTCTTTTTTTTTGTAAATTTGTGGCATTCTTATTATAAACTTAGCCGGGTCTGTATAAAATCAACTGGATTTGGTGGGCGTAGTTGGATGTTAAAAATGAGCGAAATCTTGTCAACAACCAGCTCCTTCTATAAATGAATATCGCACAACATTTTCAATTCCTTTTTATTTACTTTAGACATCTCGTTCTGCTCTGCTCTGACTTGTAGAGCATCTTTAGTATGTGTGTTTTTATTGAGAAATTGCTAAATTTTCTATACATATTTTCATTTATATGATGTTAACATCAATTTTTTACATCAAAACCAATGAATACCTCTGTATCAATAAAGCGAACAACATTGAAAGAATTGAAGAAAAAAAGAAGAAAAAAAAAAGAAACCAAAAACAAAAACCGATATATGTTATTTTAAGCAAAAAAATTCTTTTCAATACTTTCAACAAGATTCGTCTCATAGAATATTTTTAGTTGAAACAATGCTTACATTTCTCTTATTGCCGGGCATTTTTCTATCAGCACTAGAAACTTATAAATATTCGTAATATTTTTCTTTGTTTGAATTCACATTGGCACGAACGTTTTGTTAGATACTAACACGCAAAGTGAAAAGTTATTTATGAAATGTAATTTTTTGATGAAATTTGTATTTTAAGCAATTCTCTCAGCTAATTCATTATTGACGGTTTTTCCCTCATTTAATATTTTTTTGCCAGGGTTGCCAAATCCAACTGAAAATGATAATGTTTAGCTACTTTTTTGCTCGTCTACAATTATAGATTTTTTTTTTTTTTCATATATACGCGCAGCAATTATGAAAAAAAGTTGAAAAAAAATTCTGGAATTATTTTTTTAAAACGAAAACCGATGACAATGAAACGTGGTAAAGCAGGTGTGGCTGACAAAAAGCTTAATGAGAAAAAGAATTGAATTAAAGCAAGTACGAAAATTTAATTCGGTCGTGACCGAATCTTTTACACCCATCGCTCTTATCCTAAAAAAGACAAAAAAAAGTTAAAGAACTCAATTTTCATGATCTATAATATAGAGTGGGCGTGACTGATTTTTTATATTTTCAAAATAGGAGCTTTTGTCGCATAGGCGTCTAGGCGTTGTAGGCTTGTTCTTGCGAAAGTTGAAGCCACTTCTAAATTTTTTTGCGAATTTGTTGGCGATACCTTTATTTTCACTAACGGAAGAATGTTTACCACAAATTAAGCGCTTTCCAAATTTAAAATTTGCCAAGAATTTATATAGTCTATGGGGTTTTTCAAGCTTGTTTCTGCGTCCTTCTTCAAAGGCATTGAAAAAACAATTAAATTTTCATACACTATAACATTGGATAGGCATGCTCAATTTTTTCAATTTTTGGTCACGATCTACAGCATCGTCCGTAGAGTATATGTCCGAGTTTTTGTATATACATATATATATATTTTTTGTGCTATAGATTATAAGTAATAAATAAAAACCATTTTTTGTTCCTTCTGAAAAACTCGTACTGCACTGGCGTGTCCTTCGACCGATTTGGCCCATTTTCAATACCAACCTGCCCTCACGAACTTTTAATATTTCTGTCAAATTTGAAGTCGACGGGTTCATTTTTTCTGGCCAGGAAAATCTTTGCTACACGTTTGTGATGCGCGGACGTACGGGCGGACATGCTTAAACCGATTCAGAATTTGATACTCATCTGATATACACATTTTGAAAGTCCTTTGACATTTCCTTCCGTGATGGGTATAAAAATTACATCCGTATGCCGCAGCAAGGCTTTCCTTTCATAGGAACGAATATATATAAGGGGGTGTGGAAAACTAATCAATTCGGTCTAAATTTTTCACTTCAGTTTTGTATATCGAAGTATGAGTACTCAGAGATTTTGTCGATGTTACATGGAGGGAGGTTGGAAAGTGATTTGGTCCAATTCATTTTCATTGGGGTATGTCGACGCCTTGCGGTATGGAGATGGCAAAATATCTCTTAGTTTAAAGACAATAGTTTATGGATAGAGATCGGATTGTTTGACAGACAGACGGACAGATAAGGTTAAATAGATTCAGAATCATATTATAAATCCCTTTACTTAATAAAAGATAAATCTATGTTCAGTCTTTGTGGCTTTTATACATACATCCGGTTAAATTTAGTATATCTTGTTAGACAGTGCGCTGTAGGATGAAAAAGTTTCAATTTTTAATGATGCTGAACAAAAGTTAGTAAAAAAATTTTATTTTTCCATGTTATATAACAATTGTGTTCAATAAAAACATTTTTACCAAAAAGTATTCCGTTCAAAAAGGATCTAGCGAGAAATCGGTAGTAAATTGATCGCCGATATAAAATCTCTTTTAAAGAGTAAGTTTTCATCGACAACGCGGGCTAAGTTTTGGTGTTTTATAACAAAAATAGTTCAAGTGTAATAAATTCATTTACTAAAAAATTTAATTTATCCAAGTTGGATCAAGTTGGCATAAGTTTTCCTCCTCACTGCTTCCATATACCTGTCCCCATAAAAACTAAGCAGATACATGCTAATAAGGTATGATTTCTAGTTTTTTATGAAAAGAAAAAAAAGCGAAGGAGTTCATTAGGCATAATGCTGTAGCGTAATTAATGATCAGCCATGTCCGGCTAAAATGTTTTAACTTGCTTCTTTTTACAGTTTTGATAGGTGTTGTTGGTTGTGGAAAAATTATGATAAAAGTAAACAAACGAGTATGTATACACCCTTTGCTTTGTAATCGCGACAAGGACAACCATGTAGCGAAAGAATGATAAGCGGACGGCAGGCTTCACAGGATTCCTCTGCGCGTGATAACAAAGGTTATGTCAAAATTGGTTTTCCAAATTTCGTTGTGACTATCTTGCGCTTCAAGCTCGCCCTCCTTTCAATTGAAGTTTTTATTAATTTAAGCCGATATTTGTTGCAATTACATAGGCAATGACATAATCAGTCAATTGTTACCGAAAATTTGACAAATGCTCACTAAATACCTTGTTCCTGAAATTCACACAAATTTTCCAATAGGTATGTATATGAGTGTTGCATATATATGTGGCTAGCTTGACGAACTACTCTCACGAACAGTTTATGTATTACGGAGTGACATAATAGTAGCAGTTTCAAACAAGAAAATAGATTATAGTAGGCTAGAGTCCACCGTTAAATACTAGATAGAGCTTCGCTTAATGCAGTTATTCATATAATGGCTTGTCAATGTATTGCATTATATCGGAAGAATAGTGCGTTATACGGAAAGAACCATTTAAATAACGTTCATCCGTGGGCGAAAAAATGTTGCCATACAAAATCTTGCGAGCTGTGGGCGAGGCACATACGGGACAAACGGACAGACAAGCTTAAATCGATTCAGAAAGTGATTCTAATTCAATCGGTTTAAGAAAATGAGGCTCTATGTTAACTCTGTCTGGGTATTTAATAATTTTTTTCAGATGGAAGAAAGACTAGTAAAATAATAATGACCGCGAAGGCTGTTAAGCATAGATTTAGTTATCTGAAAAAAAAAAGAAAAAATATTGTTTTTAAAAATATCAAAAAATGGCAGCACCGGATCCATTCTCGCGAAGTATTTGTAATTTAACTCTACAGCCCCTGCATTTGTTTTTTGCGCAAAATTCATTTTAAAAAGAGAAAACGCCTTTACTGTACGTATTCATACTCTGAACGATACGTAAGGGATTTTAGAAATATTGTCTGAAAACGTTTCTCAGCGCACCGTATAAGTTAGGAATCAATAGCTTAAGACATTAGGCTATAGCTTTCGAGTAAAGTTTAATTTGGCGCAAGGACTGTTTGGAAGGAAGCCCGAAATTTCAAATGAAAATTTGTTTCAGATAACCAAACTTTTTTTTTTTTTTACACACTTCATTGAACGTTTAAGTCAAAAAAAAAATTTTTTTTCTTTAGTCATCTCGTTGATATAGTGTAGTCTCCTGAAATCCTTTTATATTAAAGAAATTAATTTAATTATATTCATTTGTTTTTTTTTTTTTTTTTTTTTTTTGTTTTTCTAAATATTTGCAAGCATCATATGCTTTATACGTATATACAAAAATCCATTTATGCAACAATTATTTTCAGAGTATAATAAATAAAGCGTTGTTGTTGTTGTTGCTGGTCTGTGTTTATTTTCTGTTACCGCTCTTGTCAGGTTTGCTCAGCTTTTAATTAATATACTTTACACCTGTTTCAAAGTTAAACAAGTTGTAATTATATACATGCATGCATACAAGCATGCATACATACACGCATACACACGTACATAAGCATAGTATGTGCACAATATAAATTCACATCGGGAAACAATAACGCTTAGCAGCATTATAGTCCACAACATTTTTATCGAGCACGTTGCAATTTATTGGTTTGATCGCAAACGCACACCTGAGCCATTTCAGGGAAAATCTTTTCTTCTTGATTGCAAATGAAGCGAATTTTGAAAGAAATAAAAAAAAAAAAAAAAAAAACACGCCCATAAATTATTAAATACATATTGTCATTTATTTATTTATTTATTTATTTATTTTTTTTTTTTTGTAAATTGTTTTTTAATTTAAATTATTATTATTAAATGTTATTTTATATAAAAACTTAATTTTATTTAAATGGTAATTATTAGAAGTTAAATTACGTAAAATTAATTTTTTTGTTTTTATATCGTTATTATGTAAAATAATTTAGCAATGTGCACTTGACTGTCGTACAATCGGGCAGTGATGTAAATAAGTAACAGGATAGTTTATAATCATAAATAAATTCACAAGTGGGGAAACTGAAAATATACAAAAAAAAAAAAACAAAATATGTATTAAAAGAAAAAAAACTTGCAAACTTTAGAAAAAAACCAAATTAAAAACTAAAAAAAATATAATAAAAAAAAAAAAAAAAAAAAAAATATTTGTGAAATATTTCGCTAAATGTGATCGCGGCAGTGCGTCGTAGCTTTTCTAACATCACATATTCGATGACATTATCCAATATTCGTGCAAGCAATGTATTGTTCGATCAAAATTTTTCCCGTCTTCTAAGTTAAAGTTTTTTGCTTATAAGGAGCGATCTGCTTGCAAGCAAGTTACGTCCATTTCGATCAACATCTCCTGCGAATTGTAAGTGAAAATAATTTCATCATTTTGAATACGATTATCCGAAATTCATTTCAATTTCTGACGCCTTTGAACAGCAGATAATAGACAAACACTCAAACCGATGATGAATCGAAGAACGTAAAGACCGCCAAAAGTTCGAAAAACAATCGACTCATGACTAGGTATATTCTGTGATATATCTGTGATATTACAACTAAGTTATTATGGCATATTTGCCTGTTGCCCGGAGGCGCGAACAGACAAGCCTGTCTTTGTTTCCATTTCTGTGCAGATACTGTAAGATCAGCTTTAGTGTATGCCGGGAAAAGTACAAATTCGTTTGAAACGTTTTTGAATATCTCTGGAAACAACTTATTGGTTAGTGGTGAGAATATGTTCGCTTGTTGTAGCTAATAAATTCAATACTCGATTAAAATCTTCATTTGATCGGCATAAATGGTCACGGACCACAACGAATGGAAAGCGTTTTGTGGAAGTTTGAGATTTTCGCAAATGAATTTTACAAAAAATTTCCGCTACAGTCTGCCGCTTCTACGCTTTCACATTCAAAAACAAGTAGGAACATTAGAGTGGGGCAATCCTGACGATTACATAATCTACCTCATTTCGCTTAGTACAGTTATTCACTCGTTTAATACACGAAGAAGTTCACATTATTTTCATACAAAGCTACAATTGTTATGAAAGCCCACAGGTTGGAAGGTTGCTAGACTTTATCTCCATCCATATAAGAGATTGTTTTTCGTGATAACACCCCTATATGTTAGGGCCCAAAAAAATAAACCTATATGATCCAAATTCCCCACTCGATTTATAGAGATTGATAATGGGCGATAAGAGGTGGTCCCCGTGTGACAATGATGTGCGGAAAAAAATTGCGATCCAAGGTGAAGAAAATATTTAGAGAATCGGGCATCCCGAGCGGCTCTGAGTTTGTTATCTACTGCCAAGAACTGATTTGATTAATAAAATGGAAATTTGGGCAAATATTTCTCGCTAATGAGCTTAAAAGCCATTCTTTAAGATAATATGTAATACAAACAATACGAAAGCGAGCCTAAAATGAAACAAGTAAAAACACCATTAAATACGCTACACCACCCCATAGTTATTCCTATAAGAGCTCTTCAAAATGCGACGCTATCTATGGGAAGTGGTTGAAAAAGAGGTCCGTTCCGTATCGGCTTCAGTCCTTAGGCTAAAATGCGTCACTGTAGCAAACTTTAGCACAAAATTGTGCTTCGCAAGTTTAAGCAAGATAGACAAATGGACGTACGGAAAGACAAACAGTCAAGCTTACATCAATGTAGAAAGGTGACTCTCAATGGATTGGTATAGTTAAAAGTTGAGTTTTTCTCAACTGCTTTTGGGCATTGTATACATCCGCACAAACTTAGCAGACGCTCACAAGTCACAAGGAAGTTATAATGAAAAGTCTATAGCAAATGTCGATCCATAATTTGCTATATATGTGTATTTTCTAAAGCTAAGTAAAATCGGACAAGTAAAAAATCCCCATCGCTTTATTGCGATGAGTGAAAAGAGTAAATTGTGTTTGCTATGCTAAAAAGTTGGGAAATCGGAAGCACATTGAAATTCCATTTGAAATCGAAATGTTAATAGGAATTTCATTTTTAATTAAAATGGGTCTTACAAGTTGAAAATATCATATTAATTAGAAGTGAAATTTCAATTGGAATGAACTCCAGATGTATGTCCGATGAAGTAGTCGCTATATTTACAATTACAGACCAATAATATCTAAAGTATGGTCTCCCGCATGGGAAATTGAATCAAGATATGTCGACTTGATTGTTCTGCTTCTTAATTACTTCGCTCTGCGGTATCCTAATTAAATGTTAAACAAAGCTGTGCTAAGTTAGTTAGCTAATACTTTGCAGTTGCGACAATCCTGTTAATGACAATAGATTTTAAAATAGACGTAACTCGCCAACAATACGCTGTAACTGGGTAGGTTCGAATCATTAACCGAACTTCATCTAAAACTTAGCAGAAAGATTTATCGTTGGAAGGTTTATCGTAATCTCTCACGTTCACAAACTGAGCAGATTCTTTAAATATTCCCCATATATTACTTTGAGACGAGCAGTATCTAAGATTCGTTCTCATAGCTTATGATAATTTTCTTATTTATTCTAATATTTTATTAGATTTCACTTAGAGAATTTTCTCATTTTCTCATTTTCTCGTTTTTCTTGTTTTGTTTTTTTTTATTACCTTATCGTAAAGAACCAAGTACATTTAAAATGACAGAGTATGCCGTAAGGTTTTTTGAGCTGTTCCTTCTTATTGACTAAAGTATTTTGTAGATTGTATCCGTCATACCGACGCCAGCAATGATTAATGTCTCCTGCAATTAAATAAAAACATACATATATACAAAGCGTACACGGCCACGCACTCATGAATTGAAATGTTTTGTTAGTACGAGGGCAGCCCTACAAGTTCTCGATCAAATTTAATTTTTATCGAACATCGACGCCCGCATAAAGCTTAATTCGCTCTATTTTTCAATTATAGATACTCCTACCAAAGTTGCGATCATGAAAAAAATTTGCCATCATTACGTGATGTAATACCTCCTTTGGAATGGTCTGTTTGAAATCAAAGCACTATCAAAGCTCGCCGACCTTAGGAGCAGTCGAGAAACTGCTTTATATTGCATAATGATTGAAAATATGTAGATAGGAGCTGATGTCTGCTCACAGTAGAACCGAATGCTCAAACGTTTCAATCGTATATAAGACGACAGTTCTATATACTGATAGGGTTATAACAGTTGTTTTTGAGGATATGCGATAACTATTTTTCATTGAATATCTTTAGAAGCACAAAATCGATCAATTGTACCGTACTATGTCAGCTTATTGTGGCGTTTAAGTTATCAAGTCACGAAGAAATGGCATTTGGCGAAAAATGAGGAACATATACATATGCCAGTTGTTTTGCCATCTAATCCCAAAGAGTTAAGCTTCAAATTGTTTTCTAACGCACTTTATTAGAACTAACGCACTTCTCTAGAAATAGGTTATCCGGTCTACTGTCTTTTTCCAAGGTTGAATAAACTGTGTGATTTTTTTGCAATGATCGCATGAAGCTTGCGGCTGATGGCTACTTTGAAGTACTTGACAGTTTACACGATAAACGATATACCGGAGCTATTGACAATCGCTAAGAAAAGTGCATTCGGCTAAGCGGGAGCTATGTTAAAATAATTCAATTTTTTTTTTTTTTTTTTTTTTTTTTTTTTTTTTTGTCAGATCGATTACTTGTGATACTAACCTCGTGCATACAATCCTCTTTAACTTTATAGCTTTCATTATCTATTATGAAAATTTTAAACATTTAAAATTAATTGCACTTAATGTAAAAAGGATTTTGTCATAATGGATTTATGTTTTTATTGAGCGTTAACTAACTAAGGTGTGTTTAACAATATTCATATAGTGGCGACGAAGCCGACTTACTTCTTATGTGACCACCGCGTTCATGATGATGACGATCACGACCTTCCAAAGGGCTACCATGACCGTTTGTGGCTGCCACACCAAAACCGCCGACACTTTCGCTACCACCACCACCACCACCACCAACCGAGTCGCTGTTGCGATCTTTATCGCCGTACAACAGGAAATACCAAATAATTAAAAAACTCACTATGAACATATACGTTAACAATTTCGCCATGTCCAACTTAAGGCATATACGCAGACATTAATATATTTCCAATAATTTGTGTGAAATAATAAAAAAAAAAAAATGTTTCTTTTTGTTGTTTTTTTTTTTTTTTTTTTTTGAATCTTCTTTTTTTTGTGTCTTGCACTTTTTTTTTTTTATGAAAATTTCTTAAAAATGATGTAAATGTTCTTGAATAACATCGATTTAACTTGAAAACACGAACAAAATGGTTTCTGAACGCTTGAGTGTTGTCCCTGTACTAAATTCATAATTTAAAAAAAAATTTAGCGTAAGCGCTACTAAAAACAGTAATGTGTGATACAGTTACTACTGACTATCAACGAACGTTTGGTTCGCTGGTGGTCTTATGTTATTGTTATGATTTTCTCATATATGACATTATTTTTTTTGATAAGGTATTTGTTGATTTTTTTTTGTATGTTTGTGTGTGTGTGTGTGTGTGTATGTGTGTGTGTGTGCGTGTGTGTATGCATGTTCATCGGGAAAATAAATGTGCTTTTTAAACTTGATTTTATATGATTTGTTTACGCATAACATCTTCCTTTTTGTGTGAGATACAATACAATAAATGAATTTTTTAGGCGAATGTCAGTCATTTGTTTAATTTAAACAAAGAAGAAATAAAAACAAATGAAAAGCAAACAAAACAAAAATAAATGCAAATAATGTAATTCATTTTAAGGGTCAGCTTTCGTGGTTGTTGACATTTAATGGAAAAAATGGGGTTGAAAAAAAAATTTAATAAAAATATGTATTAAATATAAAAATTAAACTAAATTAATTTAAATTAAAAAGCATTTATGTAAATCTCTTTCTTTTTCCTTTTTTATCTCTTGTTAAGCAGTCTAGAGATGGAAAATCGGATTCGCTAATAGTGAATAATATTGACTGTACGCAATAATTCGTAGCGTCCGGCACATTTGATTCGTTAATTTCAAGGTTATATTCGATGTCGATAGCAGTTTGAAATCAATGAAAATCTCACTTTTCCGCCAAGTACGAAATTTCAATATTGATGTTACGTCCGAAATTCTTCATCGGAGACAATTCGTTTCAATCATAATTTTTCGGACATTGAAAGCAGCTCACCTACTACAGTAAATAATACCTTGCATAAATTGATAGGCGTTTTATGCCCGACCTTTGCATTGTATGTATGTGTTTCACTAGCGTAAGATTCTTCTTCCACTTAGCCTTGTCGGCAGATGTTACATTCGTCTGTCCATACGCTACTCCAATATTCAGTTTCACATTTGGAAGACGTCGAAAGAGAAAATTGACAGCCGTTGACGGCCACGTCCACGAAAAACAAACTATCGGGCTATGATAGATAGTGATCATCTGATATTTGCCACACTAAGCTAGTGCGAAAAACAGTGTTTATCGGCTGGCAGTCAACCCGCTCGTAGCTAACACGTTTTGGGTTTCTCTCAACACGGTGCCAACTGTTACTCAAAAGTGTGGCCACTCTTTGGACAAGAGCACGTAAATAATAAACTGAAATGGAATCGTGAACCCATTCACTTACATTCGTAATATTCTCGTTTCTCCTTGTACTTCGGTAGGGAACATTTTCAAGTGTTTTTGAAGCAATTGCTCTTCGATAATCAAATAATATACTAAGTCCTGTCTGAAGGCACGTCTCGAATGCCTGCAGCGAACAATGGACGTCACATACGCACTGCTGTACTTATTTATAGCTATCTATATTGAGCAAGTGTTCTATTTGTCCATTGTCCACTCGTATTGAAAGTGCCTACGTACGTATCGCATAACGTCGGCCACCGACTTCTTGCTCTTTAATCGCACTATCTACCTTTGTAGCAAGCTACCTGGAGTTATCTTTCTCGTCGTCTCAATGGTTTTCTCTTTCAAATTTAGTATACATAAATATACTTCTGTCCTCTTCTATAATTCTCTTTGACAATCGTATACCCTGAGTGGTTAATTAAATAAATAAAACTCTATATGTATATATATATATATATATATATATAGAAAATTTCAAGAAGATTAGGCATGAGAATAATGCACAAAAAATGTTACTACGTTACCTTTACCCACAGATACAACAATCCAGATACGTATTAGAAATTCGATACTCATTATACGATATTGGGATTTTCACGACAATGATTAAGTGAACAAAAAGCATTTTATTAACGTATTATTGTCATTTATGCAATTTATTAACCAATGAGACAAATATTTTCAGCTGTGATCGAATCTTCTTTACCTATCAAATTTACTTCAAAAAAAAAAAAAAAAAAATTTCAAAAGTAGAAACTTTCGAATATTGGGTGGGCGTGGCTGATTTATTTTTTTATATTTGTGCACGACGTGTAGAATCGCCCATAGAATATATGAATTTTTGCTGTTAAAACTCCATTTTGTGCATTATTAAAACGGAAAAGGTTCTCAGTTTGCCTAGTATTATAGGCCGACTTGGTCCATTTTCAATAGCAACTCGCATGCGAAAAGCTTTAATACTTTTGGCAAACTTTAACGTGATATCTTGGTATTTGAGATCAGAGGTATGCTTATCATAACCAATGCAAAGCCAAACGGATAGACGGACGGGCATCAATCTCATTTTCAAGGTTAATTTTGATAAAGTAGATCTTGTGCAAACGTTTCGATAAAACGAATCCATTCCATCCTTGGGGAAAAAGATAATTAGTCCCGGCCATTGATATATATATATATATATATATATACGTATATATATCTTTTAAAAGATCCAAAACTAAAGTGAGCAAGAATTAATTATTAAAAATTATTAAAAATTGATAAAAAGAATTAAAAATATTTGAAATACTTTCGATCTTAAGTTTAAGAGAACATTTAATATATATATATATATACATATATATAGATACCATTGCATGAAACACTTACTAAAAATGTTGCTTCTAAACGATTTTTGCTATATTTCTTTCGATGCAATTTCGATGGATTTTAATTACATTTGAAATTTTAATTTAATAAAATACCGTTTTCCCTTACTTTGTCTTTTATGTAAATTTTGCGAAAAGCAAGCAAGCAAAACAATATTAAAAAAATGGAAAAAAAAAAAAAAAAATCTCTTGTATTTTATTATGAAATAAGAGAAACACTTTTACTTTCCCATAACACACCGAATGGTGCAAGAACGTACACGGAGATCCCTCAATTTTTTCATTAATAAATATATCGCAAAAAACAAGCGATTGTACGTGCTTTCAGGCCTTCCATGCACGTACGTACGTACGTACGTACGTAAACTGTGCATAGGGTTTAATATATAAATGTCAAATTATAAAAAGGAAAATCTGTAAACGTTCGTAATCCCATTGCAACTATTGTTCCTCCATAGCGCAAAGTGTTGAGTATTAAAATTTGCATATTTGTTAAAATTGAAAACAATATCATCTCGTCTCAATTCAATAATAGTAAAATGTATACATATATATTTATATATATATATATATATGCGTGTGTGTATATATGTGTGTGTGTGTGATAGCGTATATAGAAAAAGCAAAATTGTGCTAAACTTTAGTCTATATCATCAACGTCATTATTATCATGATTCTCATCGTTAACGGCAGCATCGGTTTGTGGCCCCCCCCCCCCCCCCCTTTTTTTTTGTGTTATGTTTTTTTTTTTTTTTTTTTTTTTTTTAATTTTTTGTGGCTTTAAATGAAGTGACATTGATCATTGAAGGCCACTTGACTTTCAATTGTTTTGCAAGCTATTTTAGTTACTTGTTTTTATTTTTGCTTTTTCCTGTTTGTTCTCTCTCCAAATTGAGGTCGTTAGCTTGGCTTCTAAATAAAAAAAAAAAATCTTGTTTTCTTTTTTTCTTTCTTTTACTTACACATTCTTTTTTTTGTTTGTATTCTTTTGTTTTTTGCCCGTTGCTTTTTATTGCTTTTATAAAAATAATGTTTAATATTTACATAAAACTTTCATTCCATTAAAAAAAGCAAATCCTTTTTTAATGACCAAAAAATGTGAACGTCTCATTGCAATGTATGGCGTAGCAATCCGGAAATGATGTGAAGTGTCGTGACATTCTTAAATCGAATATAAATTCACAATAAGGGAAACTAAAAAAAAAA